TCTCATTTGATGGCTCACTGAAAAGCAATAAATATAATAGTAATTCCAAAATAAGGGCAATTTTTAATTCTAGGTAACAATTGTACAGAAAAAAAACATCTGTTTTCTTTGATGCCATAGCCTTTCATGTCCAGCTGTATCAATTTAATGGTAGCTATACAATTTTAATTTATTTATTCTTTTGACTCATTTATAACAGTAGAAAAGAATGCTAACTTCTTTGATCAGCCTAAAAGTAAATATCAAAGAAGAAAATTTCCAAGATGGATGGGGACACAAACCACACCACAGCGCGCGTGCACACACACACACACACACACACACACACACACACACACACACACACACACACACATCCCTACCCATTCCTGTGTCTCTATGTATATATAAACACACACACACACACACACACACACACACACACACACCCACCCCTACCCATTTCTGTGTCTCTATGTATCATATATATATATATGCATTATATGCATTATAGATAGACAAATAGACAAAGATAGTCAACCAGATAGAGTGAAAAGGTGACATGGAAAAATGTGCAGTTGTGGTTAATCATGTTTTTTGTGATGAGATATGTCAGAATGTGAGGCTTTGAGTCTTCTACTCATGGCTTCTATAGGCTATTCTACTGAATAACACCAATAAAAAAGAGCATTTTGCTGAAATACAGCAGCATCACTGATGAATTATAATGGTTGTCTACTAGAGTAATAATGATTGAGAGAACATACTAATAATATTTAGTAATTTTCAAGGATTTTTTAAACCAATGACACTTTGAATCAAAACAGTAACTGCATGAGTTAAGCCAGGTTCATTGTCCTGATTATTTTTTTATTGTCCTGATTTTATAGACAAGAAAATGGAAGCTCAGAGGGATGTGACTTCTCCAAGATCATAGGCAAGTTATATAGTGGGGATATCAGGATTGGAATCTATAAATAGTAACTTGGTCAAGTCTTTTTTCTATTATACCATCCTGCACTTATTTTTTTCACTTACGAAAACAGGAATACCAGGGATAGATAGTTGTGGGGAGACATTAATTGATTTTTTTTCATTGATTCCTGAGGTTGCCCCTACAGGAAGAGAACAAAATATTTTAAAAATAGTATTTGTAAACTATGGAAACTCCTTGACAATTCTTGATACACATTATCTGATTTTAAGACCTCAGGAACCCCTGAATACATTCTATTGTTCATGTAGTTCCCTGTGAGAGATGGGTAAGCAAGTCACCTAGAGCAATTACGACTTCAGAGAATGGGCTTCATCAGAAAATATCGACACAGATTTCTGTATGTATTGTGCCTCAGTGGATAGCATGAAATGATCATGTTTTTCTTATAGAACAAAAATGACACCCCCAAACCTCAGACAATTAACACAAATGGACTCAGAAAGTATTCAGAAAGATGCTGGCCAACTCAAGTGGCATGAATTTATTGGGCTGGCTCAGCACTTGCTGCTCATGCAGATGACTGGGGCTCAATTCCCAGCACCCGCTTGCCATCTATTAACCATCTGTAAGTTCCAGGTGACCTCACACCACTTCTGGTTCCATAGGCATTGCACACACATGGTGCACAGACAAACATATAAGCAGGAAAAACATCTATACAAATGCAAAATTTAAAACAAAAAGAAATTCATTTTAAGAGTTGTTATAACGTTACAAGATTTATATTAGAGAGAAAATAACCTTGTGTTTGTGACTGCTATTTACGAATCAATGCCTTCACTTACAGAGTATTCAGAATTGAGAAGCAGATGAATCTAAACATTTTTATTTTTATTTATTTATTTTTTATGAAACCAATTTTGGGTTTAATAAAATCTTTTTTTCCTAAGTACACTGATTTTATTACATGCATTTGGAATCTTCACACCATTTCTGAATGTCACATAATTTACAAGAATAGTGATCTGTTAAAAAGAAAATATGATCTGTCTGTAATTAAATAATTCATTAATTGAATTTCTACAGGCATAATCTTATCAGGAGAAAATGAAATAAAAATCTCTATCTGTCTATCTGTATCTGAACACATCTGGGATGAATCTAAACATTTTTAAATTGTAGGTTAGAAATATTTGGTAGGTCATGGCGATAGCTATCTTTTTAAAAGAAAAGTTAACATTTACTACGTATGCGTGTGTGCCTGAGTGTAATGCAGTACAGTACATGTATGGAATTACCCTCAGAGATCAGAAGAGGGTGTCAGATGAACTGAAATAGGATTTGCATGTGGCTGTGAGCTGCTCAGTGTGGGAACTGAACCTAGGTCATCTGTAGGAGACTGTTGAGCCAGTTCTCCAGACCCAACATTTAGTGTGTGTGTGTGTGTGTGTGTGTGTGTGTGTGTGTGTGTAAAATCATGCACCTGCTAAGATACAAGTGGAGGTAAGAGAACACCTTGCAGGAGTGGGTTCTTTCCTTCCGCCATGTGGATCCTGGAGGTTGAACTCAGATTATCAGCAGTAAGCACCTTTAGTTGTGGGGCCATCTTGCTGGTCTTTGTTCCTGTTTTTGATCTTTGAAAAATGTTTTGTTTTCTGAAATATTTTCTTAGCTATTTAAGGCAAATCACTTTTTCTTTGATATTTGTGAGGGAAACTTGAGATGTATAATCTAAATATGAATAACTATGGATTTAAAATTAATTACTGATAGACTTACTTCTTTGCTGGAAAGTTCTATATTTGTATAAAACAGAGCCAGCTCATTATCTTTATATGGTGATATTGTACTATATCTGTTTGGTTTTCTAAACAGGCATCTCAAATTTAACAGGCCTAACTAAGTTCTTTTATGTTTGGCCTTTTTAATGAAATATACTAGTATATATTCATTATGCATAGTGATCAATTTTAGAAAGACAATTTAAGTATGTTCTTTGAGTATATTCATCACTCATACCCTCCCTCTTCTACCTATCCCCTCCTTCTTCGACTAGTCATTTAGTTCTTTATAACCCAAACTCTCAAGGTCATTATCAGCTCTTCTCTGTCTTTCATATCCTTTAATGAATCACAAAATCCTATCAGTTATTCCTTCACAATCCTTATAGAATCATACCACTTCTTACCAACTGTAGTGCTTCCACCCTATTCCAAGCCATTATCATCTCTTGCCTGGATATGGCCCCCTGTGAGCCTCCCCCCTCCTGCTCTTTCTAAATCATTTTTAATAAAGAAGTCAAAATGATTCTGTTAAAATTTAAGTCAAGTCCTGTCATTTCTCTATTCAAACGCATCCAATAGTCCCCATTCCATGCAGAATAAGAAACCAGGACCTTTACTTTGGCTCACAAGCTTGTCAACTGAATTCTACTGTCTGTGCTCATTTCCTTTCTTTCTCTTACTCTGATCCCAGTCACACTGATCTTGAAACACACCATGTATTCTCTGTTTTGGAGGCTCCCCTACCACACACACACACACACACACACACACACACACACACACACTTGCTTTTTTTTCCCCTCAGCAATCTACTTGGCTCACCTTAATTTCACTCAGGTCTCTTCTCAACTGCTCCCCTATAACAGAGACTGCCTCTGATCACTGTATAATATATTCCATTACCCTATCTCCCTGTTTCATTGCTGTATTTTTCTTCACAGCACTTATCACCACAAACTTTGTTTTCTGTTTATTGCTGTTATCAGAATAAAGCCCCCTAGGGAACAAGAAATATTCATTGAGTTCTGTCATGTACCAAGTCCGTTTGTAGGCAGCAAGAATATAAACAACCAAACAAACACAGATATTCTTATAGTGTTTCTATCCTAGTGTGATATAAATTGGCTGTATTTACTCAGTAAATATTTGAAGGATGTGTTAGATAAACACAGTACATACTTGGCAGAATAACAAGAATGGCGTTCAAAAAGGAGATTTGGATTGGCTTGTCACCTTTTAACTCATTGAAACACTCATCACATCTAAAGAAATGGTTCTATATCCTCTTAGGCGGAAGGGTAAATATCTTAGACAACTCCATGATCCCCAGGTACTCTCTATCCTTAACTCCAAGGTAGTACTAGCCTCATCTCTTCAATTGCTTCCACTTTCTGGAACTGCTTCAATCATTGGCCCCTACTCACATTGACAAATGTCAGCTTAAAAATCTCATTTTCATCTTTATAAAATCATATTGCTTTGTAACCCCCTACAGACACATATCACCAGCAGATGTAGCCAGACACACTGTCTTTGAATCCAGATGGCTTTTCAACAGCCTAGAGCTATGTTTCCTATAAACCTCTGTGCCAAAGGGGTAGTGTTCTGTCAATTGACAGAATAACATTGAAATAAAGTGGTTCAAAGACCCTGCCTACGAGCTACTTCAACATTTTGTCATCCCACTGAATATACTACTAGTTAACTCAAAGCTGTTACACCCATAACAGCAATGGTTTTCGGGGTTGGGGGATCACTGCCTAACTGAAGGGACAGTATCAAGTTACATTAAAACACCAACAGTGAGATAAATATTAGACCAGATTTTAGGGTTATATACAGGGAAGTGGATCCTTGTCCTCAAAGAACTTACAGAGCAATGCTACATGCTTTGGTTTAGTTTGGACATAGTAAAAGATACCAAAATTGCTATAATTATCATTGGAAATAATATATCATATAAATGCCAGATTGGCAAAACACTATCTGTTCCAAAAATAGAATCAAATTATCTTGGTGGACATGTCAGATATGGTATGTCCTCAGGAGAGATGAAGTCCTTATGGAGAGTGACCTTGAAGGACATAAATGCTACCATGGCCTCCAAACATAATGAAAAGGGAAGGTATCTGGATTTAGAGAATAAAGGATCCTTCTATTGTCAGTTCTTTGTCAAAGGATTGAATAGCAGGTTAGGCTGGAGAAACCAGTGAGATTTGGACCATGCATGAACTATAAAGAGTATTTTTTATTACCATTTCATAAGTCAGAGTGATAAAGGATCACTTGAGTAGACTTACCATCTGCTCCTTCACCACTTTTGCTTCTTTTATTGCGACGAACACGCCTACTTTCCTCTTCAGAATATGCCTTTTCATCAGGAAAGAAGAAATTCAGGAGGGCCATCTGTAAAATTAATAAGTAGATGTGTCAAAGGTTGATGCCAGTCAGCTGTATCCAACTTAAGAAACCAACCAGCTGGCTTTTGATAGATAGTCCATCTTTACCTTAAATTCAATATATCTAAAGTCTGAGTCCATCTTTCCTTCTACTTTTCAGTGACTTTAATCAAAGAATTATTACTATTCTAAACATGTAGGCATGGAGTTTTGGTTAATCTCTGAAGTTTCTCTATTCTGCTTTGAATAGCTCTGAGAAATCCCTTAGGTTACATTTGTCCACAAACTTCTGGGGTTTGTCACAAATTTCTAATTTTCCTCATGCATTACTGATGGACATCCAGAACTAGCCTTGGATTTTCTATTACCCCCTTGGATGTTATTATCATATATATCTGATTTTTCCATTTTCCTACTGATGCTCTGTGCTTAATTTGTTTCTAGAGTGGGGAGCACCCAATCCTGAGGTGCCATGTATGTCAACTTTCTTATGGGAGTTAAGTCATGATAAAGTGCATACTAATTCTCTGTCTTTCCCAAACTCAATCAGAATATGTGGTCTATAAGACTAATTTCAGTGAAACAGAACAAATGATTATTTTTCTTATTCGGTTTGCTAATTTTTAAGGAAAAGTAAATGTGTTATCACTCTATTACTAAGTTTCTATATAATAATGAATCTGGAAAAATAAACCTTGTATTAAAAGGTACTCTTTCTAATATTTGGTCCTCTGATGTCGAATAATCATCACTTAGAGTGACATAATATGTTTTGTATGTGAATGGGTCTGGTTTCACTAATGGTAATCATAACTTCAGTATATACTTGAGGTAAAAAGATGTGCATAAGTTAAACAATGGACAGAGTTTTAGACTCCAGTGATTCTAAGCCCAACTCTATCACTTGCTGGCTGTGTAATCTTGGATGATAATATCACTTTACTCATAAAGCAGTGCAGGATCATCACAGTACCCATCTCTATAATACATACACAATAAATGTTAGATATTGCTATGTTAAATACATTAATTATTTGAAACTTAAAATGAACGTATTTTCATTCCATTGTCAGCTGGAAAAATAGTAATCCAAGAGTCTTTATGTGTGGTGCATTTATTAGTTAAAAAAATGTGCTGGACCCCTATAATCCACACTGCCAGAGAAGCTAGGAAACAAGGAGGACTCTAAGAAAGAGATACATGGTGCCCCAGAGAAGGGGAAAGGGACAAAAATCTCCTGAGAAAATTGGGAGCATGGGCGAGGGTAGAGGGAATTAGGAGAATGAGAAGGGTAGAAGAGGAGGGGTGAGGAGGACACGGGGAAGCAGGAAGGTTGAGTTGGGGGAGGAACAGAGGAGAGCAAGATAAGAGATACCATAATAGAGGGAGCCATTATAGGTTTAAAGAGAAATCGGGCACTAGGGAAATGTCTGGAGATCTATAAGGATGACACCAACTAACCATTTAAGCAACAGGGGAGAGGGTACCTTAAATGCCCTCCCCTGATAATGAGATTGATGACTAACTTATTTGCCATCCTATAGCCTTCATCCAGCAGCTGATGGAAGTAGAAGCAGACACCCACAGCTAAACACTGAACTGAACTGGAATCCAGTTGCAGAGAATGAGGAGAGATGAGGTAAGGGGTCAAGACAAGGCTAGCGAAACCCACAGAAAAAGCTGACCTGAACATGGGAGAGCTCTTGGTCCCCAGACTGATAGATGGGAAACCAGCATGGGACTGATTCAGACCCCATGAACGTGGGTGTCAGTGAGGAGGCCTCAGAAATCTATGGGGACCCTTGTACTGGATCAGTACTTATCCCTAGCATAGGAGTGGACTTTGGGAGCCCATTCCATATAGAGGAATACTCCCTCAGCCTAGACACATGGGGATGGGCCTAGCCCCTATCCCAAAGGATATGACAGACTCTGAAAACCCCCTATGGAAAGCCTCACCCTCCCTGGGGAGCAGAAAAGATATTTGATAGATAGGGTTTTAATTGGGGGAGTGGCAGGGGAGGAGGGGAGGGAGAGGGAACTGGGATTCAAATGTAAAATAATCTTGTTTCTAATTCAAATTAAAAATTGGGGAAAATGTGCTGGACCTAAGAAAATCCTAACAGTCTATACAAAATTTCTTCAAATATCCATGATTTATTGTTTATATTAAACAATTATATCCAGTAGCCTTAACGCACAGCCATCTAGGAGGATACAGTCATTGATTAAATATTAAACAATAAATGAATATATGTAATCTTATATTATTAACCACAGCACATTCAAAAACATTTAGATTGTTCCACTTGAAATGGCCATTTTTTTTCAGAGTGCCCCCCAGACTCTCCTAAAACAATACTGGCTATTGCCATTGCTTTTGGTTACCTACCAGAATTAGATGATAAAGACCCTGTTACTAAACACAGCACACACTTAGGTTAGAGAACACAGAAAAATCTAGCTGGAAATGAGTCAGAGGAATCCTCCCTGCTGGCTACCATTCATAGTACTGGAAGGTGTTATGCAGACTGTTTAGGGAGAAAAGACAACATCAATGGTCTTTGCCAGCTGTGGACCCTGCATGCAGCAAAACTGACCATTCAGACAAGATGCACCCACTGGTGTAATAGTTGAGGGCAACCAACTGCTTTTCGATTGAATTTGAGGCTGACTCCACAGGAGGAAATGCATGCCTAGTTACTGGAAACCTGGTCAAAAGCCCATGGTTATGGAAGTCACAGGCCCTAGGGGGAAGCCACTATTTTGATGTTTTGCTAAATGAACATGCAGTCAAATTGCCTTATAACTATGTAGATTTATATCTAGAGACTACTGCTCTCAGCCTTCAGAGAAGCTTTGTTTCAGTAGGTAGCAGTTAGTGTAGAGACTCATAACTGGTTAAAATACAGAAAAAAGTGACTATTAGTGTGTACTCCTAAATGAGACTCTATATCACTCCCTCCAAGGCTCAGGCAACATCTTGGAAGAGGGGTAAGAATGAGTGTAAGAGCTAGAAAATGAGGAAGAATGTTGTGAAATACTGTCCTCTGTATATGACATGGCCATTGTATATAAGAACATATTGTAGCTGTGGTAACCTACACAAGATTGGGTCCTTCAATATTCCATTATGTATGGGGGAGGGGTTTATGAGGGTTCAACCACCTTCCTGAGGAACTAATGGCTGTTGGAGAGGGAGAGTCTTTTTCTTCAGTAATGTAGTCACTGTTAAGTTGCCATGGTCCAGTAAATCAACTCCAATTAAACTCAGTATATCATTTTATTGTTTTGGACACCAAGAGGGAGTCGGCGGTGCTGGCTCTGTTGGCACAGACGAAAGGCAGGAAAGGGCAGACCTGATGAGCGGGAGGATCAGCCCTCCAGATACTCAACCCACAACGAGTGAGCTTCGCATCATACAGTTTAAAGATCTACCCCAACTGCCCAGCTAGTTAACCCAAGCGGTCCCTGTCAACTCAGGTTCAGCCGGCCCCCAGCCCGCGCTTAGAAGCCATGGTGGCAGGCCCCAGGAGCACTTATGTCCCTCGGTCTCCTTTGATTCTCGGGATTTGAAGATGGCTGTACAGTCAGCGCCGAAAATTGTGCTAAAAAGCACCACCAAGATGTATCTAAATGAGCGTTTTACTAATATACTGAAGAACAATGCCAGTGAATAGTTGGGCTTCAATGCAGCAGCAGAAGCAGCAGCAGCAGCAGCTAGCCAGTACCAGAAACCGAAGACTGGCCCAGCAGATGGGGAATAGTGCCCCTGTCCAGGCAGCACTAAAACTTCAGCATACTTTATATGCAAGTACGGACAGTAGCTTTGGAAAGATATGTCCAATCTGTGGCTGGGCGTCCAAAGGGCGGTGCCATGCAACTAAGAGCTTAAAGCAGCACCTGGGTAAGAGTAACATCCAGGCATGTTTAGGAAGACCCATAGTACCATGGTCAGGGGAGCGATTGGAGGAAGAGGCCTACCCATAATACAAAGAGGCTTACCTCCCCACCCTCAAGGAGGACTACGTGGGGGACGTGCCATCAGGACTCTGCTTAGGAGCGGAGACGGCAAGGTCGTGGTTTGATAAGTCGGGGAAGGGGGGCTTTGGAGGCAGAGGCTGAGGTCGTGGCCAAGAGAGAGGTGCCCTCACTCGCCCTGTATTGACCAAGGAGCAGCTGGACCACCAATTGGATGCATATATGTCGAAAACAAAAGGACACCTGGATGTTGAGTTGGATGTCTACATGGCACAGACAGATCCTGAAACCAACTATTGAAGCCTGTCTGCCCGCCTGCCTGTTAGACTCTTGTTAAAGTCACCACATCTATAAAAAGAAAAAATAACCTTGAGAAAACATGAGAAGAAACCTGATTGATGCTGGAAGGACCTATCACAATAGGCTGTGGACTTACCTGCCACCAGTTGACACATTTAGTCTGTTCCTTCTACTTTTTGAAAAGATACTGTGTTATATGAAACCCTATTTCCCTTTGATTTGGTTGAGTTTGTTTTGTTGTTTATTCAGTCACCCAGACTTCTCTTTGAACAGGAATGCATTGATTGGCTTTGTAAGTGAACATTTTTCCAGCCTCTACTTCACCTGTCATATACTCTCACATTTTAATATTTCCTCTGTTCATCTTTATGATCCAAAAAAAAAGGTTCCCAGAAGGAGCCTGTGTTGTCAATAATGTGTGGTCACTGGGATAGAGTTCTATACTTCCTTAAAGACTTCCTATAAATAACTAAAACTAAAGGTGTGTTCTGTTGATGGTGAAGGTAGTAAATTGGAAATGCTGGTATTGCCACTGGTCCAGGAATGGCTTATACATGGTAGCAAGTTAGATTTGGTCAAAGTTGGTGCTGCCTACACTGATATTACATAAATGGTAGCTGACATGCTGAGTTAGATATGTACAATTTCCACCCTAAAATAAGATTTTAAAGCTTTGCTTTTGGTTTTGTGTCATGTCCACGAGGCTTGTGCACATCCGGTACAGAA